GTTGTTTTAGTTTATTCCTTAGTTATTTTAGTTATTTTTATCTTAGTTTTAGGAATACAACTTATATTTTTTTTTTTAAACACATTTCTTAACCACTCATTCACGTTAAGTCAAGTAATATTCTTGCTTGATTTAACTAGTGACGACATATTTATTAAACAAATATTTAGAATCTAGTTAGGTTAAGCAACCATATTACAATGTATACAAGAATCTTAATAAAGATGATCAGCAAGGTTGCCTAAGATAAAAAAAAAAAAAAAAATATTTGCAAATAAAAAATAATATTAATCATTTCAAAGTAATCTAGGTTATTTTAATATAACTAAGTTATTTTATGAATTATTTGCAAATAACTTTAATAACTTAAATGACCCAGGTTATTTCTAAATAACCTAGATCATTTGGCTATAAGTTATTTATAAATGATTCAAAATTCAAATAACTATAATGACTGATCATTATAAGGTTATTTTAGGTCATTTGTAAAATTAATAAATGACCTAGTCATTTACTATCTCTGACTGATATAACATAAGTAACAGATATCTTATCTCAACCAATAACAAAAAACAGTTAACTATAACATAAAAAATTTCAAATTTTTATTAACATTAGAATTTGAATTTTAGATCTGCCACTTAAAGAATAACAACATGACTACTTCTCTATGTTACCATGTTCCCTTAATCAAAAATTTTAATTTGAATAAAAAAATAATTATATAAACCTGAAGTAGAAGTATTTACTCAAATACATTAAGTAGAATTTTATATCTAAATCTATTTATTAATTATTTAAGTAATCCATAGGTTTACGCAAAAAATTTAACCAATCAAATTTGATTTTGTAAGTAATGATTGGCAAACTTTTATAAAAAATTAAAGCATCATAATTGGTTTTATATAAGTATTACAAATTTGATAAATTTGGTTTTATATTCAAATTTGATAAATTTGGTTTTATATTCAAATTTAAAAAAATTAGGTTTAAATTCAAAAATCGAATTGATTTCAAACTCTAGTATATAGGGATATTAAATTTCAGTTTGTGTAAAATTGAAATTCCATGTAATTGTAATTTTAAACACAAGACATTAATTTTTGAAATCAAAATTTTATTACAATTCGAATCATATATTCAAATCAAATGATGCAATAATACTGGCAGAACTTTTGTAAATTTTAAATAACGTAATGAAAATTATATTAAATTTAATTTTCTAAAACTTACATAAAATCACATAATAAAAATTTGCAATTTATGTAGCACGACCTACTAGCATAGAGTTTTTAGAAGGTATAAACTGTTCTAGTGTTACCAAGCTAAAAAATTTCGCTGCTATATTAGGGCTAGCTTTTACTAGTAATTTAAGTTAGAAAGAGTTTTTTCAATACCAAAATTTAGCAAGGACAACTTTTTGATAATGCGTAGAAGGTGGTTTAATAGGCAAAATGCTGAATTACGGGTGCTTTTTTGGGATGTTTGATTTTTTCTGTAGCACGTGATATTGGCCAGTGAAATTTTTTAGGTTGGTAACAGTAGGACAGTTTTGAAGGTATGGTACGGTTTGATAAAATCACATCCATTAATCCCATACTATACTGATCTGTTATACTGATCTGCTATACTGATCTGCGTAATATAGTTTTCGAAACCACAGAAACCAATTTTGCGTTATATCATCAGCATTAGGGTTAGGAATAATAGCTGATTAGCCCGGTATGATATTCAAAATCGGGCCGATCTGGTTACCTATATCGTACTGATCTGTTGTAATTTCAGTTATATAACAGATAATGATTTTCCAAAATTGAAAAATCATTAGTGATTCATTGTCCCTGTCCAAAATTAGGATTTATCCGTCCCGTGATCTCGTGCGACCAATATCAATATGTAGATCAGGTATCACGACAATTACCAGTTTTTTCAAAAATTCCTTGGGCGAAATTTTATATCGATATACCCCTGCCCTAATGCGTAATTTTATGTAACGGTATAATTCTGGTCCAACGATAGCCAAGGTTTCATGAATACTGTATAGTACAGCACTTTTTATATAAAATGCTTAGAAACAAATTTTAAAAAAAATCTGTCCTACAATTTGTCGCTTTTAGTTAAGCTACAATTCGGTTAGAATAGATTTTTGTTTTTCTTATAAAATGTCGTTAGAGCTTGAAGTTCAAAAATTGGTTATATATCGTTAATTCAAACTATTATGTAGTTTCTGGCGAATAAATTTATTTATAAGATGGTAAATCAAAATTATTTTGCACGTGATTTGAATTGCAGAAATAAGTAAACTTTTAATTTATTTATTCTCTTTTGTTTACGAAAGTGTTTGAATGTTTGATTTCTTTGGGTAAAAAGAAAAACAAAAGACAATAAACCGAATTGGAAGTTTTTGACTGTCATTTAGCGCGCGTTTGTTCCTATCGCTATTTTGTTCGTCGTAGACAATCTATAAAGTGCATCATCCTTTGTATCACTCGTAATTTCCTTTTATGCATATTTATACAACTATAGGGTGTTCTTTTGTATGTATGTACTCATATTCTCACATAAAATACATATACATACGTACGAGTAAATTTCTTTCTCTTTATTCACATCAATAAATCTTGAATATGTCTAGCACAGAAAAAGTCGACGCAGCTGCAAGAAGTTCTCGAGCACGTCCTTCTGAAACCGCTGGCACTGGTAATCCTGCTTCAGAAGATGCTAGTGGAAAGAGGGTGGGCAAAAACGCTTTTACTTTTATTTTTGTTTTGTTGGGAAGAAGCAAAAATACTCGAGATGAACGAAACTAGAAAAATGGTTTGAACCACAAAATAAAAATACAAACCTATGCGAAAATATATTTGTGGTTTTGCAATAGGCTACTACTGCTAAACGCCCAAAACAAAAAGCAAGTTCAAGCACTCAAAAAACATCCAAGAGCGTCAAAGCAGGTGAAATTCCCTTTTCTGTTACGAATCCTGATAAACAAAGAATATGTGTATAAACGTGATTAGAACCGATTTTATAGGTCTCACCTTCCCAGTTGGACGTATGGGTCGTCTATTAAAGAAAGGTCGATATGCTGACCGGGTTGGAGCCGGTGCTCCCGTCTATTTGGCCGCGGTCATAGAGTATTTGACTGCCGAAGTCCTTGAACTTGCTGGCAACGCTGCTCGTGATAATAAGAAACAGAGAATTATTCCAAGACATTTACAACTTGCTATTCGAAATGACGAAGAACTGAATATCTTGTTGAAGAACGTTCATATCTCTGAAGGTGGTGTCCTTCCGAACATTCACATCGAATTGCTTCCAAAGAAGAAGGGCGAAAAAGGCAAGACCACAAGTGGTACCGCAGCTCCAACTCCAAAGAAAGCTACTAAAGGTAGTAAGACTCCTTCGACGGCTGCTAAGGCTTAAAGTATTCCTGTGAGTTGAAGGACTTTAATAGAAGAGTTTTTTTTTTGAAAAATTTGAAATTACATCTCTGCTTTTCTATCCAATTTAATATATACGCACATAAACATTCGTACATCAACCAATAATAATATTAAATGAGCTACTATAGATTTATCATGATTTTATCTGGATTTTAATTGTATGGTCTAATGACAGTCCCGGAGATTTTAAGACTGTATTAAAGGTTTTTATGCCACAATTTAGACAAATCTCATAAGCGTTATATTACAGAAATAACATTAGCTTTTGCATCACCATAAAAGAATGCTGCTTTTCTTATAAGTATTGGTTTTTAGTATCTGTGGCTTATTATTAATTTGAGGCAAAATTATCGATCGTAATAAAAATTGGCAAATGATTTATACGTGAAGCGAAGACGTCACTACCTAATTTTTATGTGTAAGGTTGTTAATGATGTAGCATACTCCGGTGCCGCTCCAGGCTGAACCCAAGAGTCTGATTTAATGGAATGGTTTGAAAATTGAAACATAACCTGTTAACAGTTCTATTTGTATAGCATAATGTAGCTACGGATCTATTGGGCTCTGCAAATGCACTATTAAAACCTTGCAATATGACTTATCAAATGTGATAATTCAAAATTAATCAGATATTACTTATGGAACCGACAACTCATACAAGGAGGTCAGGAGGTCACCAGATTTCCGGGTCGGAATACCTCAGAATCATGATCGGAACGGCCGGAATTAACTAATTTTGCATAGCCCACTCATGAAGTAAAGCTGCCCATCTGGCCCAGAAATGGTTAACTCGTATTGCTAAATGCCGACCTAAATCCGATGGATCCGACCCGAAAATTTGGGATCCTTCCGTAAAAATTGGAACCGACATAGTGGATCACATTTCAATCGTTTATGGCAGGTTATCTGTTTGACAGGATCAGGTTTGAGAGGACCGACAGTATATAAAATTTAAAAAAAGAACCGGTAGGCCGGCTCTATTTAAAAATTTCATGTTATGAAAACAAAGACATTAAATTTGTATAGCATAGTACTAAATATATTAAGTATTAAAAGTTTTTTATTCTTGATCGAAATAGATGTAACTCTTTAAAAAAGACAAATTTGCCCAAATTTGTATACAGGTTAGAATAGTCGATAAGTTATTATATCAAGGTTTTATCATAGTAAATGAAATTTTAAATCAATTATAGTGAGGTTGAACTCTTCCTGTGATTATTAAATCAGAATCCAGAGAAATAACTTTTACATCCGCCCATTTTTTCTTGTTTTTTCCTTGTAACATATCATCAAAGACGCTTTCTAACATTGTATTTGCCTCTCGAGGCTTAACTGAACTATCGACTGTACCAATAGTAAGATGTGGCACTTTGTTCATGCTTTTAATAGATGGTGGTTCAATTTTTTTGACAACAAGTGCCATAATGCGTGAATCGAAAACTAGCTTATCGAAAAACACCCGCACCTGCGGAGGTTCTTCTCCACACATCTCTTCGAATTCCTTCCACACTACTTTGCACTCTTTGGAGGGAAAATCCGCAGCATGAGCAAGAGTAACATGATGTTCAGGTCTAATACGATCATTTTGTATTAGTTTTTCAAATGTTCCAGAGTCCACATTTGAATGATCGTCAAAATATTGTTTTAGGAAATTATTAAAATCATAATCAAATGTGATCCCATAATAACTAGGTTTAGGCTGTTTAACATTTTTACGAATAGTGGGTTTATAATTCATTGCATGTTCAATAGCTGTATCAATTTGTGAATCGTCCGGCTTTTCTATACCAAGTATCGAACGCAATTCTTCGATAATAAATAGAAGATTGGTCCTAACGTCATTATGAATATCTAAATCAATGACATGATCAAAGTAGTTATCAACTCCATTATTAGAATCCAGAGGCTCAAACTTATCCAAAAAACCCCAAATAACACTTTTATATTTAGGGTTATCAGGAGTAAGCGACTGATGATTTCGTCCACGTAGTGCAACACGTTGTGAAGTCATTTCGAAGATCTCATTAATATTAGTGCTATGGTTCCAGTAGAGCGCGACAATACGGATATCTGGATAGCGATTCGTGATGGATTCTATCAAAGATTGGCGAAGTTGTCGAACATGATTGTTTCTAAACGATTTAAAGCACAGTTTATTAGTTTTATCGATTGCGCGATTCGGAGAATAAAAAAAAACGATATTTACCGATCCGCAATCACAACATCTTTGTTGTCAAATTCCTTTAAAATACTATTGTGAAACTCTGAACGGGTGTTCTTAGAAGTTATATTATCATTTTGTATATGACCAAACTTAAACAATGATGCAAGTGCAAGTGCAATCGTTGTTTTGCCTAAATCAAAAATTCGAGTTAAGGAATGTCGTGTAACATAAATATGATCGAAACGTGAAACCAGTTAATTTTGAGGCAGATTAGTCAGAAGAATGTCGGTCTCATTATCACCTACTGTTTCCGACCCAGCCTGTAAGAGTCAAAAAGAGAGTAATATGGTAACAGATATGATGTATAGTAAATGCCTTGATTTTCTTACTATGTCGAAGGGTTGATCACAAGACTGCCGCCATGACTAATCTGTCTCAATTTAGTTATCAACAATATCACATGACACCAACACTTCAGTGACTTACCACATCCGATTGTCGCAACAGGTACTAACAAAGTTTTCTTGAACAGTTCGCATCTTTCTGGTATATGTTGAGACATGCCTTCTTTATTCAAATGTTCTAAGAATATGTTTCTTACATGAATAATTCCATGATTATGTTGATACCCTTCGAAAAGGTCTGGTTCTGTTCGAATTTTCTCTTTCGCCCAACTAATATAGTATTTACTGGTTGGATAAGTAAATTTAGGCTCTTTTTTATTTAAAAGAGCTTTGGTGATCTCCCTCCACTCACGATACATGAGATAAGGTTCTTCGTATTTGACTTTGAAGAAAAAATCTTGACCAGTGTACTTTATCTTTGTTCGCACCACAAATCCCTCAATTGGCTTTCCATTTAACGCACCATTTTCTTTAACCTTATCGGTAAATTCCTTAACTTCATTTGCGCTATTTCTGACATAATATATTATTGGGATAAAGCCCCATTCTTTTGCAAATTCATTGACATATTCGCTAGGGCAAGTTTTCAAATCGGCAGTATTATAATTTAATCCATGCAGATAGAGACCACTACGTTCAAAAGTATATGGCAACACGTGTTCCTCAAAAGAATCATCACAAAGCTATTACATGACATCAATGAAAGTAGTTAACACACAGAGTAAATGAGTTAATCAATATAAATGTTTTTAAAGATATCTTACTTCGGCTACTGCGGTTAATTTATTTATGTATAAAAATCTTGCTAGATCTTGCTTACGTTTTCCCACTTGATCCAAATGTTTGTCAAGCCACTCTTCACCCTTCTGAGCATGTGCAATTACTACATTCTGAAGTTCACCCATTGAATGTTTACTAGTAACTAATATATTGTCATTGGGAAGTCCACCAATAAAAATGATACAACCGTTTTCTTTTGCAGTAATTTCATAAGGGCTTTCTGTGTTTTCGATAATAGACTCCCACTAGATAAAAGTTTATATAAATAAGATTGTGTAACGATCATAAAAAATCGTTCAATAATGATAATGAATATTTACTTTTGTTTTTTCTACCTCTCCAATATTGAAAAATTTATCATATCCACGGATAACAATTTCATATTGATGTTCATCCGTCTGTCTCGTGAACAGACCCCTAGCAGGAGTAAGAACTTCTCTTTTTTTGTAATCCCAATCATTCATTTTCCATGAGGAAATAGCTATTCCTGAAGGTTTATGTGTATAATCTGATCTTCTAATCGATCCTGCTTTTCGTGTTTTTCCTTTTTCCTTACATTTTTCATATAATCTTTGGATAAGTTCATGGGCTACTTGTAGATCCCGTTCTGTTACAGTGTACATTTGTTCAAGTCTCACTTTTTTTGCTCTTGAAAGCTCGGTCATTCTATAAACGATCGATTGAGTTTTTCGTGTTTAGATCAGACACGTAGATATATATAATTTTGTACAATCACATGATTTATTTTTTCCACTGCGGTAGAGACTCATCATAAAACCGATTTTGATTAATACAGTAATTGCGAAGTCGAATAAACATTCCTGCACTGCGGCAAATCCGCAGCTACAGAAGTCTGCTTTTGCGCAGTTCTACGTACTTCGAATTAATTTTAAAGTACCATTTATACAAATTTTAACAATATCAGTTATTAGAAATCACATAGGGCACTTAGTTACTATTATGTCTAGGTCCTTGACTAGATCCTTGAACTTTTGAACTTGTTATCACATGATATCAAGATTTAAAAATTTTTTCTTGATTTTTATGCCCCTGGCTCAGATATCTGTAATAACTTAAGTTCTAAACCATTATGAGTGATAAATTAACGAGAATCGCAATTGTTAGCTCGGATAAATGCAAACCTAAAAAATGCAGACAGGAATGTAAAAAATCATGTCCTGTTGTAAGAATGGGTGGGTATTTTAGCGCGACTACCTTGCTCGATTTCAATTTTAATTTTTCTAATGGCTTTTTTATACATTTACTCATTTTAGGCAAACTTTGTATTGAGGTTACTCCTGATAGCAAGATCGCCTTCATATCTGAAGAACTATGTATCGGTTGCGGTATATGCATTAAAAAATGTCCGTTCGGTGCAATTATGATCATTAACCTTCCCACAAACCTTGAAAAAGAAGTCACCCATCGATATTCAGCAAATTCTTTTAAACTTCACCGTTTGCCAGTTCCTCGACCAGGTCAAGTTCTTGGTTTGGTTGGTACTAATGGTATTGGTAAAAGTTCTGCACTAAAAATTCTGGCTGGAAAGTTAAAACCAAATTTAGGAAGATTTGAAGTAATTATGATTCTTTTCAGATAAATTTCATACATTGGTCTTGCTTAATTGATGTAAATTAAACCAATTTAATCGATCTTAAAGGATCCTCCAGATTGGCAAGACATTTTGAAGTATTTTCGTGGTTCAGAATTGCAAAATTATTTTACTAAAATTTTAGAAGACAATTTAAAGGTATAAATCATAAATTCATTTTTTGAGCTGTTCATTTTCCCATTATTATTCTAACTCATCAAATTACATATATATTTTTTGTCAATCCAGGCCATTATCAAACCTCAATACGTCGATCATATCCCGAAAGCTGTCAAGGGAACGGTTACAGATTTAATTGATGCCAAATTAGAACGAAATAACAAGGAAGAAATGATTAATGATTTAGATCTTCATGATGTTTTGGATCGTCAAGTGATTGATTTATCTGGTGGAGAACTCCAACGCTTTGCTATTGCGGTGGTGTGCATTCAGAATGCAGACATGTTAGTTCATTATTTTTATGAAGTCTTTAACTTTTATGGTTTATTTTAGGATTAATAAAGAATATTATAATTCCTGGTAATAGATATATGTTTGACGAGCCATCTTCTTATCTAGATGTTAAGCAACGTTTAAACGCTGCTAGGACGATAAGATCTTTATTACAGCCCGATCGGTTGGTAATATTATTATTATGAGATTTCAGTTTTATATTTAGTAACTAACATTATTATTCATTAGTTACGTCATAGTTGTGGAGCATGACTTATCAGTTCTAGATTATCTATCTGATTTCATTTGTGTACTTTATGGAATGCCATCAGTGTACGGTGTTGTGACGATGCCTTTCTCTGTTCGTGAAGGCATTAATATTTTCTTGGACGGAAAAGTTCCAACAGAAAATTTGAGATTTCGTGAAGAATCTCTTACATTCAGGCTGGCTGAAACTGCCGAAGATGAAAAAGAAGTTGAAAAACATAGGAGGTATAAATATCCAGATATGGTTAAAACCTTAGGTAATGATTTTTTGTAAAATTTAGTTTTCGTAAATTATTTAATTATTTAACTTATTCAAAATCCTTTTGATTCAAAGGAAATTTCGAGATAACTATTAAAGCTGGAGAATTTACTGACTCTGAAATTATTGTGATGCTTGGAGAAAATGGAACTGGAAAAACAACATTCATTAAATTGCTAGCCGGTGGTATGAAAGCTGATGGTGAAGAACAAGTTCCGGAATTAAATGTTAGCTATAAGCCACAAAAGATATCACCAAAATTTCCAGGCACAGTTCGCATGCTCTTTCTAAAGAAAATTAAATCGATGTTCATGCATCCACAATTTCAAACGGATGTTGTAAAGCCCATGCAAATCGAGAATATCATTGATCAAGAAGTTGCAAATCTGTCTGGGGGAGAACTTCAACGAGTAGCTATCGTACTGGCATTAGGTCATCCCGCAGATATTTACTTGATCGACGAACCATCCGCTTATTTAGATTCTGAACAACGTATTGTCGCTGCAAAAGTTATTAAAAGGTTCAAGTCATAATTATGTGCATTTTGCAAATATATAGAATACATCTAATAATTATCTAATTTGTTATTATAGATTTATACTTCATAATAAGAAGACTGCTTTTGTAGTAGAGCACGATTTTATCATGGCAACATACTTGGCAGATCGTGTTGTTGTTTATGAAGGAAGACCATCTATAAAAGCTATGGCTAATTCGTAAGTATTGGTAAAAAATTTAAACATCATACAGAATTGTGAATTGTAATTTTATATTCGTTATCAATTTATAGGCCGCAATCTTTGTTATCGGGTATGAATAAATTCCTTTCATCACTTCACATCACGTTTAGACGTGATCCTTCAAACTTTAGGCCTAGAATAAATAAAGCAGATTCTCTTAAAGATAAAGAGCAAAAATCAAGTGAGTAAAGGTTTAGATATCGTTTATTCATTTATTTAATTGAGTGTTAACTTGTTCTGTTTAATTCATAGGTGGCAATTACTTCTTTTTGGAAACAGAAGCTTGAAAAATAGACTTAATGTGATTGAAATAGAATTGTGTTTAGTTTAGCAAATTTCAAAATAAAAATAATTCAAGTTACTATTGTCTTATGTATAATAATATTAACAATCAAAACTTAAAAATGATTTAGTATTATTAAAAGTCTCAAAAAAATTTTTTTATATAGTTTGATAAATTAATGTATTAAACCTATTTAAGAAAATTACTATTAAAGCTATTCTTTAGTAGAAAGTGATTTGTTTGACCTATTCCGTGCTCTTTTGAGATGTTTCGCTTGCATAAATTTCTTTATATCATTAACCATTTTCAAAAACCATTTAGATTTAAACAAGCTCGAGTACCCATACATAAGGGAATGTTACCGGCGCAACTACAGTGAAAAATATCGGCCAATCAGAATGCACGACAGTTCAAATTTGTGTTGTCCGGCCAAAATTATACACTTAATTTTGCCCGAAGTGGTATTGTTATACCGCATTAGAAATTGCAAAAATATATAAACATAAATCGATGTTTTTTACTGTCCCTGCGTTGGGGTAATTTATTTGCATTACAAGAGCACCACCAAAAATTTTTCGGTACAAAAGTCTTAAAAGGTTGTTAATTTTAGGGACGCATAGTAAAATTGCTCAAGGAAAGCTTTTTGATTTTTCTGATCATGTGCTACTTACATCTGATTTGGAAAAACTTGGAGGAGTAACACCTATCAGTTTTGTACCTACACCTGCTGAGTACCCTTATGTCAAGCGAAGTCGAACCCTTCCGATCCAAATACTTAGGTTGGAGTATCTCAAGTATTTCATCTATACCAGATGTGAAAGGATAAGTAAATTTACTTTTTTTGCTGTTTGGTTTTGGTACACAATATCCTGAGATTTTATTGGTTCCGGACCAGAAATTTCAAGGTCGGAGGTCGGTACCCACACCTGCTAATTCTCACTTTCCCGAAACTAACTTTACCGAAATACTATTTTCCTAACATCACATAGGGTTAAGGTTGGCATTTTGTTAATTATAGGTATATATTTTTTAGCAAATTGCTACATGCATGATGTCGGGAAATCATACTGCACCTACTCTAGGTACAAAATCACATGATCTGGTAGGTGTTTATAGATTTACTCCTCTTGAAGTAGTTATTAAGAACCTTATGAAAATATGAAATATGTTCTTCTCAATTCCGTTATATTTAATTCATAGAAAATTTTCATAATATAAATGTTCAAGAAATATGAGACATTATTCATAATAAGAGAATAAATGTGCTTATTGAAAACAACATACTGCAAGTAATTTCACTATTTTAAAGATTTTTTAACAATGTAATTGATATAAATTTTAATTAGTAGGGAGATCTAGTGTGACTAAATTTAATGAATTTTTTTTTATTCGAATTTTACAGACTTTCAGACTTCGGATAAAAAAAATTTCATTAATTTTAGTCAGGTGGTTGTCGAGATATCTTCGCTCAAAGTTTGGGCACAGCTTCTATTCAGATGTTTGAATTTTTTTTAAAAACTTTGAAGGTATCTTGACAACCATCTGACTAATTTAATGAAAATTTTTATACGAATTCTACAGACTCTTAGAATTCAAATAAAAAATTTTTCATCAATTTTAGTCAGGTGGTTGTTGAGATATCTTCAAAGTTTTTAGTGCAACTTTTATTTAGAAGATATTTCGACAACTATTTGACTAAATGTAATGAAATTTTTTTTATTCAAATTTAGTCAGGTGGTTGTCGAGACATCTTCACTCAAAGTTTTTGATGCAGTTTCTATTTAGATGGTTTGAATTTTTTATTCGTATTTTACGGATTCTTATAATAATTCAGATAAAAAAAAATTCCATCAATTTTAGTCAGATGGTTGTCAAAATATTCTTGCAAGTTTTCAAATAATTTTGGCACAGCTTCTATTTAGATGGGAGGTGTCAATAAAAACCAAGCAAATTGTTTCTAAGTAAATTTTTTTAACAATTATTAACTCAAATCTGACAAAATATTTTTAATGTTAATTATATATATATAGTTATAGAGATATTTTAAAAAAAATTTACTAAAAAACAATTTGCTTGGTTTCTATTTGACACCCCCCAGATGTTAAGAAAATTAATGATTTTGATTGGCTGTCAATTTATCTGTATAACCCCCTAGACCGTCAATTTAATAGTTACCCCGCTTTAGTGGACTCCCATTTTTAGTAATGTCGGCGAAACCACCCATATCGATATGTCATTAGTAAAATTTCAGCCTAAATTTTTTATCGTCGCTCTTAGCCAATCAATAATCCGCACCATCCTTAATCCTGGGGTATGCACAATATCATGTGTAAAAAAATTTTAGTGTCGAGTTTTTTTTTTTGACCAAACTTATGATGTCCCAAAGTGACTCGCCAGCCTTTCAAATAATCGCTACAAATACTCTAATTATTACTAATGTTAATCAGGCTACGTTTCTACCTGAAAATCTTGAAAAATTAAAAAGTCAATTGGAACAGTGTGGTACTATTTATAAATTCGTTCCAACAAAGTCCTTTAATCGTATTTTTGTTACTTTCTATACAACTACTGATGCGAAAAATGCCAAAGAACATTTTGATAAGTCAACCTTTCTAGAGAAAACCATTCGTGTGTATTTTGGGCAGGTAATAATACAAAATGTCACGTAATAACTCATTTTTTCGTCAATACTTCATGCCATATTTACAAGTTTATTCTTTCTTTTGATTTTGTGATTCGGATAATATATGTAGCATATTTCAATATATGAAACGGACAACGCACGGCATCTGAACGTTCCAGAGCTCGAAAAAAATTGGCTTATTTCGCCACCAGGATCACCACCAGTTGGCTGGATCCAAAGTCGAGAAGACAATCCAAATTCTAACACTCTTGCTGATGACCTTGTGCATGCATTTGCAAAATTTTATCCAGGTTCTAATAATGATAATGTTAATAGTAATGATGATTTTGAAGAATTTACATTAGATGATAATATCGAGCCAAAAGACGGAGTTACACATGACGATTTACAAACACATACACCACTATTGACTATTATACCCAATGATGTCGATATAGATTATAATACTAACCATGAAAGTAATCCTGATGTTCCTCTTATTCTTATTCAAAACTGGGATGATTCACCACCTAGTACAAAAACAAAAAAACCGAATCTTCAAGTTTATAATAATGGTAAAGCACAACTTCGTCCAAATATTTCCATTCATCCTCTCGCACCGACTCCTAGACCTCCGTTTCTTTCGACGCATACTTAGCAAATAACCGGTTGGATGTTATTAAAAAGTAACATAAATAATCTAGTAATATGTTTATAAAAAGATGCGTACAAATTACTGCATTAATTTAAATAATAATACTTTAGAACATACAAAATCGAAGTTTAGTTTTTATGTTTCGAGTTACTGTTATAAAGCACATTATTCCTTATCTAAATTATACACTGTAGTTAAGATAGATTATATTTCGATTCATCTTAGAATGGCAAATTCTTCATAGCATGTACAGTCTCGCTCAAATAAAATGATACATCTATACTTTAATTAATACTCAAATAATTGATTAAAATTTCTTCGCACTATTTTTTAATATAACTAAAAAAGATTACATAAATTACAGTAAAAGCTTTTTAAAGAGTTCTCCCTCCTGTAATCAGTAATTTATTAATCTATTACTCTTCCATCATTTTTATGTTTTCATCATCCTCTTTCACATCATCTACATCTTCTTCGTTCGTATCAAATATAATAATACTTTTCTTATCATTACTAAGTGCACCAATTAACCCTCTTGCACCGTTTGTAGTTAGTTGGAATGGTTTAAAATGAGTGAGATCACGGAATCGTTGAACTAAAAGTGATGTAAAATTTCCATCACTCTTTTCAGAATATGTTGGGAAGATATAAAAAATATTAATTCCAAAATTTGAAAACAATTCACTCTTTATATATGGGGTACGTCATTTACCATTCGGTCCCACACTTGGTTAATGACATTCGGCAACTTGAATTCATTTGTAGACTGTAAGTCATATGGTTTTGGGATCGATATGAAGTTCAATTCTGTACATTTCACTTCTGTCAAGAGAATTGGCTCATCTTTAAGTTGCGTAGAGAATTATTATATAAGATATTAAATAATTTGTCAAAAAAATCAACGTATAGGATTGTTAGCTACCGTATTCTGATCCAATTACAATCATGTATAAGCTTTCATCATCATAAAGGTTCAAATCGGTAATCGACAAGTATTCTTTGGGATGTTCGTTATTCACTAACTGGATACAGGCAATCTCACCGTTTTTGTTTCTAAAGGTGTTATCGGTAAATTTTGAAGATAATGTATGACTTTTGAAAGTATTTGCATACAAAGGAAATCGGAGGACCCACACTTAGATTTTTAATGCCATAAATTAATTTTATTATTCTATAAGTATGTAATAAGATCGAAAATCATCAAGCTTACATGTTGGAGAAACATTACGATCTTGTGATAAATAAAATATTACGTATGCATTTGTCCCAAAGTCCTAAAAATATAATTATCAGAAAATGTCAAGACCTTTAAATTCCAGAACAAATGAAAGGCATTCATACCTCAGCTACGATTCTCATATCTGCCAAAAATGCATTATCGATACAACAATTAGTGCCCTCGACTATATCCACAAGTTCATGCGCCTTAACAGATTTTGCAACATTATCTGCTGTTGCAGAAGATAGAGTGTCACACCGGTTAATCAATTCGTTAATAAAAGATTCAAAACTTGGTGCGTGTTGAAATGCACTGTTAGAAGAAAGATAATCGTACGGATATGCTGGCAACCCGTTACTTTGTGATGAGTTATATTGAAAAAGGTTATAATTGTCTAAGGAGCTATATGATGAAAACGGAAATTCAAATGTAGGTAATGATATTGTTGAAGACTGTCGATCATCCACGAAGAACTTTTCCAAATTATTTAAGAAATCTTTGCCAAGTGAATTTTTTATGTATGAAGAGACTTTGTGAACATCCACTCGAGGTGAAGCTTCAGGATTAGTGTTTTGTTCAAGAGATGTTATATTATCAAATTCTATAATATATTTATGAAGATATCATTTACATGAATACTTCAATATTTAATCATACGAAATACCTAAAATGAAAAATTACCAAATTGAAGCCATTGATGAAACTCTAGAAAATTTATGTATTCTTCGTCGATGACCGAATTTAATTTCTCCAAACGTGAAATTATGCATCCAGCCAAGATCACACAAGAATGAATAAACGGTTCATCGAGTCCGAGCTTTTGAAATTTTTGAGGCCTAAAATTGAAGTAATGTATCAGGAAAGATCAGGAAAGAATCTAAAGCATGAATCATTCCGAGGTTTTTAAAAAAAGTTATACCATTTACTACATCCAACTAATGCATTCAATTCTATCATTAGTCTTTCACACCCTATACGCACATAATGATTTATATATTCTCTAATTTGATCGAATGTTTTCTGACCCTTGCTTTCCCAATCTTTCAACGCCTAAGTATTTAGAAAAAAAGTATTGAAAATATTTTCTAAAAACAAATCCAATATTACACAAAATAGATTACCTACCCGTTTTGTGAGGTGAGATTGCATGTATTCATCAATTAAAGCACTTGGTTTCCCGGTAGCCAACAAACGGACAAACTCCGCTGACAATTTTGATTTTGCTTCCTTACGATCAATTCGTATAATAATCATTATAAGTGTAAATCGATAATGTTCGAAAACTTTCATGTGTAATTTTGTTTACCATTATGTGTTTCCAATACCTCTTGAAAGGATTCAACAAATTTATTTGTCAAAAATTTCAAATCTTGATACTCTGATTCAATTTGTTTGATTCCTTTAAATATATAATCGGTCAAATATTTGATTGCAGTATATCTCTGAGATAAAGTACGAATTTCAAGTTTTTGCGTGTACAATAAGCCCGTATTAAAGGTAACGAAACATAACCGATCTGTATGCGACTCAACGCCTGCTGAAGAAGTAGAGCAATCATCTGTCTGTATTAGCAATGTTATGAGAGAAAGATCTGGTGTAACCGACGCCTTTATTATTGTCGCATTCTATCAATTACGTCAAATAAAATCAGCAATTTACGAATTTCAAAATTAATAGATACTTTAGATTTAATAAAGCTCACCTTTATTTGAATATGTTGAGATAAAGATATTGGTTGTAAGTTATATATTCCGTATACGCTGGATCAACATACTCGCGTCGATTTAATTATTTCTGGCCATAATATCAAAATTTTTTATTTCTACAGAATAAAGGAGAAAAGAAGATCCACCTCAAATGCAAATTTCCGCCCGCATCACCTGCTAGAAGCAAATCGATTGATCCGGATGATCCATCATCCAAATCGTCTTCATCAGATCCATTTAAGTCACCCAAGAGTTTGCTAAGATTTGGCATGTTAATTAAAAGGCCTAAAGTGACTTAAAATTCGATATATATTTGTGAATGACTAACCTAATCGGTTTTGCATGTGGCATCGTGTTTAATCGAGGCAAATATTTCTGAACAGGGTGGGCACTCATCGAAAAGTCATTTGTCGTGTCACTATTTAAAAAAACAAGAATTCAATGGCCGTTTAGAAAATTGGTTAAAGAATAGATTGACCTGTTATCCGTACTTTATGTTTTCCGGGTCTTTTTTGGTTTCCTGTACCCAAAAAAGAAAATTTATTGCAAAAGATTTTGACGATGATGATTTGAGTGGTTTTTGGAATAATTCATGAATCATTTCTAATTTATCCACATTATAAAGTCGTATTATTCCGTTTGAATACCCGATAGCAATAACTTTTCCTAAAAAGTTAAGACGGGTTTAATATTTGATACTTTTGTTATTCAAATTATGAATGTACCATCGGGTCTCCAAGTGAAAACTTCAACAGTTTCCTCTCTGTCTTGACTAGGAGGCAAAGTCCAAATTTTTTCCAGGGCATTATACCACCTCGCTACCCAAACACTTCCAGACTCGGTGCAGACGGCGATTAAATCCATTGTCGGGCACATTGACATCAGTCTAATTGAATTATCAACGATATGTTGATTTATCAAACGAAAAGCGCGTGACTCGGCGTTTTCACACTGAAATATCATTTTTTTTTTTCAAATAAGAAGAAAAAAAAAATAAATTATCGATATCGATATTGCCTGAACATATGAATCTTTGATCAGTGCTCGTGACAGATGGATCATTTCCTGCTGCGACACCTAAATTTTGCCTGCTTTACAAATCGATTTATGCGAAATTATACAATAAAAGTTTTTAAAAATTATGCTGAAAGTTTTTCGAATAGCAAAATTTCAATAGTGTGCGTGCCGGCACTTGTAAATGGCTGATTGTCTGTCAGAAGGATATAGCGAAGTCCACATTCATTCTGATCTACTGCCTTCGTTATATAGAAATATTCGGTTATCAGAAGACAAACTTGTAAAATTATAATTCAAACCAATTTTCACTATTTCAAAATATTTGCTATGTAAAAATTCGTTATTTCGAGCTTTAACTGTAGATTCATCGTTTTATGCCATTAATTAATAATAATAAAATTTTAAAAACATTAATCATAAGATAATATTAATTATGTAATAATAAAAATGCACAATACAATGTATTCGAAGTGATGAAATGACCACCTATAGTTATTAAAAAATATATATTAGTTATTGATATATACGTAGTCAAAAATTCGACCATTGCTAATTATCTGTTATTCACTCATTGTTAATAATTAAAAAGGTCCCGTCACTAAATACTACTGGGAGACGAAAAAACAAGAAACAAAAAAACATAAATTTAAAAGAATCGATATTTTGGTTAGTGCGATTGTCGAAGGACTTGTTAAAAATTCATTGTGCTAAATTCAGAACAGCTCTATTAAAAAAAAAAGGTCTGCACTTCCGATCTATTGATCAAGCAAGTTTAGTAACATATTACTTATTATTTCCGATTATTCTTTTAGTTTTCTTGCGTAATAAGTAATAAATAATTATGATATTGATACGCATACTTTTCCAGTACGTAGTGATGGGACCTCTCAAATTATTAATACGTAATTAATAATTAATTATTAATATTTGGCCGAGTTATTAACTAAAAACTACTTAAAATAATGTATGGCTTAGTGAATTGATTTAAAACTATATAAAAAGATTATAATAACCAAAGTCAATTTATCTACGTGTTGAAAAGCTTGATTTCATTACGATTTTTTTGCATACAATTGTTTAATATGCAGCTTTTAATGTGGTCGCATAGGAATTATTAACAATGATCGAACTTATTAATTATTACTAACTATTAATAATTAGTTATTAATGTTTTTATTATTAACTAAAAACTCGAAGGTCCCATCACTACTTTCCAGATTACATTTACAAAATGTAATAAGTAATAATTAGTAATAATATATGTGTAAGTACTGGGGTAAAAATAAGTAATTATTATTACCTTGCCCATCTCTTATTGAAGTGCTCGAGAGCACCCATAATCTACAATCCATAGACCGAAACTTATTAAGATTGACAGACCCAAACACACATTAAGAACAAGTAAGAATCCGGATCTTTTTCTAGCGTAAGCTTCCTATTCAAATTAATGTTTAGCAATGAAAGTTTAAGTGTAATATGAGCTCTTGCGATAGAAGGCCAGTTTTTCTATTAATGCAAAATAAATAGTCAAAAGTATGTGAAAATTATCGAATGCACATAGTTGTGGGAAACTGGAGATTTTCGTCGGGTAAGCATTTTTATTATATGGCTATAATGAATTACTCGAAAAACGGGTAATTTAATAATACCCTGGTAGAAATTTTCTCGACGAGTACAATCTCTACTTATATATACAATAAACAACAAATGTAATTAAAAGAGTAATAAAGAGAGTAAAAATGCAAAAAGAAAAAATAGACATTACACATGTCGAATATAAAGTTCACGTAAATAACCAGATTCTTCAGATATTAAGTAACCCAATAAAGCTATTTATCAAGTTGTTTTTTAGCATTGGTTTATAATAACCCAGGAAGAACACTGAAACTTCAAGATCATAAGTACCAACTTACGAGACAAAGAATAAACTTAAAGAGTGAAATTTAGATGATTTAAAGGGCGAATCGAACGATTGGTTCGAATAAAGTAGAATATCTAGCCAAACCTCTCTATAATCACACCCTTGGTGTTAAGAATTTAGTGCTTATAGAGAGTTTGTGCCTATATAGAGGTTAAATTTTATGTGTTATCGTTCTATATCGATACGTATAAGTTGTTTTAAAATTTTGTGATTATAAGCAAATGTGACTATAGAGGTGACTCATTACGGCGCATAGTTCTGACTGACTGTGTATTATTTACCTATATCGATTTAACGATGAAAGTAATGGATCAATTACAACATAGGTGATCTCTATTATAAATCAATTAATTAATAATTTATATTAATGGGATTACCTAGACGTGCTATATTTGATCCGAAAGTAATTTCACTTAGTATTGTATTTTTTGATCAAAAGCCAGATTCCAGTTTTGAAATCTAGGTTCTTTTTATATTTATTTATATATATAAACTAAGATTAATAACATTAAAATTGTTAAAACTGTATTAAAATTTACATCCGAGTATGGATTTGATGATCATTTGAATAGTACTAACACTATTTATGTAATTGTATCGGTATCCCGACTATACACTAATAAAATATATAGACCTTTTACATATTGTTAATAATATGTAGAGAATTGACTAAGAAAACCACCGTTTGACGCTTACCGACAGTGATTTTCCTATTCCATTCCTCGTATGAAAACAGAAGGGATCATCTATCCAGAAGGAACGTCTCTAATTAGGGGGTCGGCTAAAGTCAATATATGATCTATACACTGCATAAATTTACATTCTTGATATTCTATATAACGGGGTCATCTAAAGCCGTGTGCAGTCACGTGCCAAGAGGCCAATAAGATTACTTGGTTTGATCAGCACGAATTAGTCCGACGAAGGAAAAAAGTGAAAAACGTCAAAAATGAGTGCCTAAAACTTCATAGGCAGAAGTTTGTCTAATTGGCTAATAAATTCAATTTAATTTACATTATTTATACAGTTTAGAGTACTTTTTTAAAAAAAGAAAACCAACCACAATAAAGTAAAAAAAAAAACATATAAAAGGTTTTATTAGAGCTGTAGAAGTTCATCCCAATCCTGGTACTGACTTCACAACATATTCCTACTACTTTGGTATTCAATTCAAGTTCTATCAAGCTTTTAGATCAGATAGTCTAGAAAGATAAATTGTAACCATACTTCTGGTTTACATGTTCTCTGACATGTATCTTTTTCTTTCAAAATCTGAAAATTCTGATGATCTGACTGGTTCTATTTAGCCTCTTCTCAAAAGTTAGTTCTTTGCCTGGTTTCATAAGTTCTAATTATATTTCATAGGTCTAGTTTTTACAATAACATTATTAAAAGTTCAAGTTATCTCTCTATTTAAGTCTTCTAAATAGGTTTCTATTTTTCTTGTTCTTATGATTTACATAATTACAAGAATTTATTATAAGTTTATATTACTTGATATTGGTTTGTATTCCTTTGTACAAGATACAATTATTGTATAAATGTTATGTAATCTTTTAGTTAGGTTGATATAACATGAGTAACAGATATCTAATCTTAATTAATAGCAAAAAAACAATTAATCATAACACAAAAAGAATTTCAAATTTTTATTAATACTAATATTTGAACTCTAGACTAGGGATGCAGGTGGAACTCTTCTAATAAACTGTACAACATACAGCAAGTTACGGTTACAGTTATGACAAAATTATAAGAATCCCAAATGCTATATGAATTCAAAAATACCATATCAATATTGATATTCAAATTAATGCATCTAAAATTGTACTGATCTATCATTTAATTAATCAATACTATATCAATATACAATCTTGTAAATAATAGTCATCATGATAAATATATATGTAATTAATATGTAAATAATCATATATAATATAATAATAAAAATTGTTTATATTTTATTATTTTATTTTCTTGAATTATTTTTAGTGAAAGTTTTTTATAATGAATTTAAGCCAGGATTTTATTCCTGAAGATAATAATTATGATTCGTGCTCTTCATTATCTGAACTAAATTATAACATTAATCAACTTTTTACTTATCAATCCTCTTAACAATTACCAAGATTGCTTCAAGAGCCTAATGAAATTATTGTACCTACTCAAGTTAATAATAATCGTGATGCCTTATCTGAAGAAGAAAGCTTCTCTGATCAACCTAAAAAAAAATGTCGTGGTGGGCCCAAATGAGATCTAGTCTGAGATTATGTTGATATCAGTAATCATTTAGGAGATGGGCATTACAAAACAAGTTGTAGGCATTGTCAAATTGCATAGACTCATGGAAAACCACAAATTCTTAAATGACATTTGGCACGAGAATGTAAATGTTTCTAAAGAAATTAAAGAAATATGGCATGATAATTTAGCAATAGAGGAAAAAACTATTAAGAGACAGAATAAAATTGAATCTAGGTTAGGATTGTCTTCACAGTTTAATATTTTTAATCAAGAAATAATATCTGAAGAAAGGTAGCAACAAATAGACAGGGCTATTTTAAAGGGTTGGATTTGTGCTATAATTCCATTTGAGACTATAGATAACCCATTTATTATTGATATGTTCAAAACTTTAAATATTGAATACAAACCTCCTTCATGGTTTACTCTTGCTGAACATATTCTAGATGAAGAAATTGCTAAGGTTGAAAAGTCAATTGATGCTGAATTAGAAAATGAAATAAATTTGACTTTAAGTAAATATTTTTTTAATATTTGAAATAGCAATTATAAATAAAAATTATATTATAATTTTAATCTTTAATTTTTTTTTAACAAATATATTTTTAGCTCTTGATAGATGAACTGCACCTACAGGTGCATCATTTTATAATTATATAATCACAACTCCTAGTCGATGTGAGCATCTATTTCAAATTAAGGATTACTTTACTATATCACAAACAGGAAATTTTTTAGCTAAAGAAATTAATAAAATATTAAATGAAGTTGGGCCAGAAAAATTTGCTACAATTGTTACTAATCATGGTTCGAATATAAGGTGAGCAAGATGACTAGTTAATGAGCAATTTAATTTTATTCTTGATGTATGATGTGGTGCATATACAATAAATCTAATAGCATCAGATTTGGTGGAAGTAGATGAAATTAAAAATTTAATCAAACAATGTGGATTTATAGTAAATTTTTTTCATCACTCATCAATAGCTAATAGCTATTTAAAAAAAGATATAGCTACTATGAGTATTGAAGGTGATAAACTCAAAACATATGAGGGTGAGTCAATAGAAACGTGCCAAATCTTTTTTAGTGAAATATTTTTGCAACTTTAAACAAAAGTAACTTAACAAGAAATTATTCAAATTTAATAAAAATTTTTTTAAACAAATTCTATAAGAATTTAGAATTAATTTTAAACCAAATTTATTAAAAATGGTTAAGTTCTTGCTAAGTTATTTGGATTTAAAGTTTTAAAAAAATTTACTTAGAAAAAATCTGGTGCATTTCTATTGACTCACCCCCATATTGTAAAACATGATGGAGATCACTTTATATGACTGTAGACTCTATAATTTGTACACAGCCTGTGTTCGATTGGGTAAACTTATTATTTTTAATAAATAAAAATTAATATTGTATTTAATTATATTAACTAATAAATTTATATCTTAGCTTATTAATAATTATGCTGTTACAATCTCTAACAAGACAGTTTTCGACTTAATTCAAAATCATGAATTTTTTAACCAATGTTGTCAAATAACATCAATATTAAAACCTATTAAGGACATGGTATATCAATTGGAAAGTTAACATGCTACTATTGCTGATTGTTATGTAGTATTGATTAAAATAGCTGCAGCTATAAACCATCTTCCTAATATTAACTTATTTAAGTCTAAAGCCATTAAAATTTATAATTCATGGTTTAAACAATTTGCAACACTATTGTATCAGCTTGCCTATTACTTACATTCTTTATATCATAATAATTATATATAAGCTGATATATATGTATAGTATATATAATTATTTAATCATTTTAATTTTTTTATATTTTTAGATATTGGATTAAAGCAATGTCAATTTTATGAAATTTGTGAAACTGCAGCCACAATGTGGCAAGAATTGGGATACGATGAAGCTTTATGTGAAGATCTATTAATAGAACTTTGTGCCTATAAACGCAAAGAGAAACTGTATACCCAAACATTTAATAAAGAAAAGAAATTAGCACTAAAATGGTGGTTAAGCATTAATGCTCAAAAAGATTTCTTGACTGAGCTAGCCATTAAAATTTTTTCCATTCCACCTTCTCAAGCTGTATATGAGTGAAACTTTTCCACATTAAAATGGATATTTGGTGATCGAAGAACAAGGCTTAATATTTTTTGCTTAAAAGCAATAGCAAAAATTCATGCATTTTGCTATACTAATATTAAAAATGAATTATCTTTTTATAGAAAGAAACTATTGGAATGTAATTTAAGAGACAGTATAAATGGATCAACTGTCAATGCTAGCCAAATAGAATTTGTTGAACAATCAGAAAAATCTTCTGACTCATTTGAACCTATTACCAGATATTGCAATATGCAATTAGATGAAATATATGATACTAATTTGCTAATCGATGAAGTGATCGATCTTTCAAATCCAGCCTTTGTCAGCAATAACAATTCATTTATCAAAAGTCAAAGTATGATATCAAATAATAATACTCAACGACTTGAATTAGGAAATCTTAATTATAACACAGCAAATTTAGTGGCTCAGATTTTTAATAAAGAAAGTAATAAATAAATAATTAGAATAATAAATGCATTCACTTAGATTCATTTTATAACAGTATTGTTTTTTTTATATAATATATTTTTAACGTTAGTGCATACTTTTCTATAAGTGTATAATCACGCAAGCTGTAACAGTAATATGAATTTTCAAAAAATTTACTGTATAATAGCAATAAAAGTTTTTAAATTATAGCAAGTTACAGCATATAAAATTGAATTATGGCATATACATAAGTTATAACATAAACAACTATATTAATATATATGCAAGTTTTAGCATATCATATTTTAATGCAAAAAGTCATAACTGGTTATAACTCAGTTACAATATGGTTTTTCCCAATGCTTTAAGTTCTGCCTGCATCACTAGTTAATGGTCACAGAAGTATGTCATAATAGTCCCGTGTGGCACAGTAATGAGCTATCCTCACAAGATCGTGATGTTATAATGGCCCTATATGGTGCAGTAATAATGGTTAAGACAGTTAACAATTATAATGCCTTATTACTATTAACATTGCATTTTATGTTCTACGTATTCACTTATGATATAATGCAGTTTTATGACAGTTTCACAAGATCATGTCATGTTTCACATACTACATCAATTATCCATATCTTGTGTTTCATTTAACTATCATGTCATAGAAACTATTTGGCATCGTAGAAACTATTTTGGCATTGCAGAAAGTATTTCAGTATGGATTTTTAATATAAATTTCTAGGTTATTTCTGAAATAACAGATATTTCACATCAAAAAAAAATGCTGAAATACTTTTAGCAATGCCAAAATAGTTTCTATAATATGTATAACCATATTAGAAGAGTCTACTAGCACTGAATATGCTAATTTAACAGGTTTGACAGAATCAGCCCTCTTATTTATAAACCTTGAAGGCTTAGCAGGTTCCGGGATACGTGCATGAGTTTAATTGTTATAACAAAATTAAATACTAATCAAAGTATAGAACTATATTTGTTAGACTTTTTAGTTTCTAGGTACGTATTGCATTGTATTTACTAAGAGGTTCACATACTTGTACTTTTATTAAAACTGGCTTTGAGAGTAATGAAATTCCAATTATAAAAAACATGTATATAGATCTTTACTTCTTTGAATCCCACCTAAATTTATAAAAAAATAGCTTATTAAATAGATGTACACAATTTAGCTGAGATTTAAAACTTTTATTGATAAGAGATCTCAGATAAGATATTAAGGTAAGGTGCTAGAAATTTTGTTAAAGTTTTGCCAACAATATTCTCTATCTTTTTTTTTATTAAAATTAATAATAACAATTTCTGAATAATACAAAAAATTAATTTATTCTATGTTTTGTTTTTTTGGTCTTCCTCATTTACACTTAATCAGACTAGAATGTCAACTTTTTACGTGGGTATTAACCATTACTGCTGTCAGGAAATACTTCTTACAAATAAAGCAGGAAAGTTTTACATAATTGTTTATGAAAAGGCAGTGTTTGTCATACCTCAGTATTTTATTTTTGTCAAAATACTCCAGTAGATGTATTGAATTAACATAATGGCCATCTTTCCTCATTAGAATAGGTGAAAGAAAGCCATTAGTTGTAGCAAGAAGGCTAGCAGCCTCCTCGCATCGTTTGGGTGAACAATATATGTTATTATCACATTTTTTGATGTTCAAGAAGTATCTACAAATATTTGCATAGAGTTCAATCCATTCCCAAGATACATTATCTGAAAATAGTGTATTTTCTATGCTGACATATTAAGTCATGACCGGCCTTCTGAATATATTGTCCCATCTCCACAGTTCACAAAGGGTGTCGCCTGTATGCTTAAAATTCTTTCTTGCTAGCTCCAGGTTGATGACTTTACCTTGTGAGTCAAGATGAGAGCTGTGTTTATCAACACTTTGAGTTATACCTGCAAGTTTTGCTGAAAGAGACACCATAGCCCTTTCAACAGGATTATATGCTGATTGACCTGAAGTAATTAATAAAGTAGGCTAATGTTTAGTTAACCAGTTGTTTAATATTTATTAGTAGGGATGTTAAACCATTTAACTGGATTAAATATATTAAATTACCCAAACTAGAGTGGTTTATATAGTAAAATTGAACCAGTTTAATATTTCTATTAAGAAACTAACACTTATTACAAAAATATAACCATTTCAAAGTTAGTTATTTGACAATTATAAGTTCTAAAGTAATTATAATATAAACTTTATATGATTGGCTAGTTTAAAGATCACAATCGTCAAATGATAGATTACTTTTGTACATGTAATTGTTAAATGATTGACTCTGAAGAGGCTATATTTATGTTATAAGTGTTAGTTTCCTTATTAGTTAGCTAAATTTTTAACTAAATAATTTTAGTAAATCTAGATCACTAACCTGGAGCATGAGTCCTAATGGTCAAATAGTCGAGATCAAAGAATCGAAACATGTTGCAATATTATGTTATATTTTTTAAGTATCGAGAGTTTTCATCTGGCTCTCCATTTACAATGAGGACTTAGATGGGTCTTATTTTATTATTAATATTCAACATTTTATCAAAGCTGTCATTATTAACTAATGAATGTAGATCATTTATATGAGATTCAGAACTTGTTCTTACCTCATATTGTGGACAGATGTATATAGATAGCTGTCCACTACGAAGTTTATCATTTGTGTCACTCAGATCAATTATGAGGTAAACAAATAGAACAAGTTTCTGTTGTGAGCCAACAGGAAAGTTGTGGTTCAGAATTATGACCGGCTCATTGAAACTTTGCATGACTTGAAAAGTCTTTCCAACAGCAGAAATGCTGAGGAGAACCTTGGCTTTATCATCTTGTGACACAATCACTGACAAAGCTGGAAAAGAGAAGCAAATTGTCTTGCCACCTTTACAAAGGCAAAACAATAATGTGTATCTTAATGTTCTTCCCTTTTATTTTTTAAGACAGACGTGACCTGAACCAGAATCAGTAACAAATAGAAATAAAAAGGTATAGGCATGTTATTAAAATTTTAGTTTTAAAAGTATATTAATTAAGATCTCCATTAGATGAGACTGGATCAATTTATAACAAAAAAATAATAGCAAAAATAGAATAATAGCCACAATTAGAATTTAAAAAAAAAATTTTGATACATTGAATAAGTAGTTGGTGGATAATGCAAATGAAAAATTTACTTTGTCTGACCTTACATGAAGGTAAAGTATGAACATTCATAGACATGAACATATATAGTCCAGAAAAGATCATGTATATCAAAAATATTACTGACCTTAACATTGGTTGGGTGATGGTGATTTTTTGCTTCTATTGAGTTGAATCGATATGGCTGCAGGTAATTATTTACAGTAATTTGAGAGAGATGTTCATCATATTTTGACTTTAGTTCTTCTTATAAATGATTCACTGTTCAGACCTTAATAACCTCTATTCTTCTTTTGCTATCAGCAGCCCTAAACTCTATGCTCTCATGAATGTGCTCTAGTAGGTCCAGGTACTTGTGTAGAAAAGGAAAACATCCAGGCGAGTCATACTTTACGACCTGTTGATGTTCTTTTAAATCCTGGTCTTTTTTCTCTCTATATTTACGTTAGTAACCAGCTTTTCATTTTAGGATTTGACCTTTTTTGTCTTTAGTATTAAGAGCTTTCTTAAAGTCTTTTATGCGATTCATTAGTTTATATTGAGCTTTTGAATCAGTTATAGAATTATAAACCTTTTGACATTCTGCAATTTCATCATTTATTTTAGTAATAGTTTCTGCTACTTTTTTCTATGCCGCAGTGTTTGGTGGTGGCATATCAGGAACAATGATTTCCTCAATTATTTGATTTTGAATTGGAATAGCTGCATTGAAATTTTGAAGAGGATTTATGTCTAGGATAGTAGGAGCAGCACTTTTAATTAGGTGTTTTATAGTATTTTCAATTTCATTCTTAGGTTTACTTTTAATATCCATCCAAGCACTATTGTATTCTTTAAGCACTATTCCTTTTGGATACTTGGGATCCTTGGTGCTGACCATTTTGTTATATGCAAATGCATTACAAAATCTTTCGTAGTGATTGGAGGGTGATTTATAAAGATAGAATTTATTATATTCTAATATTGATGTTTGCATTTTGAATAAAAAGAAGGATAAAAGAGAAGATCGAAAGCAGAAAAAGACGAAATGAAATAATAGATAAAAATGAAATAGAAAGAAAAAGAAGAAATAAAGAAAAAGTAAGTTAAAATAGAAAATATAGAAAAAAAAGAGAAAAAAAAAAATTTAGAATGCGAAAGGAAAAAAAAATTGAAAAAAAAATACAAGAGAGAGAAGAAAAAAGAAACAGATGCTAAGTATAGAATAACAGATCAAATAGAAGCAAAAAGGTAATCGAATTAGTATCTCGAACGAAATTAGTATGATGTTTTGTTTAATAGAATTTGGACATATTTATAGCAGATAAAATAACACAACTCTCTCTGACGATCACTTGGACACAAAACCGTTGAAAAAAGAAATCAACTTTCTGCACTAGTGTTAAGAACCGGTTATAATCTACCGAATTTATAACCGGTTATAACCGGTTTTGAATATAACCGATTTTAAAATTTTAAAATTATAAATCCGGTTATATTAATAACCGGATTTAAATTATAATCGAATTTATTTATAACCGGATTTAAATTATAATCGGATTTATTTATAACCGGTTTAAATTATAATCGAATTTATTTATAACCGAATTAAAATTTATAACCAATTTTATTTATACATAGTGATACAAGAGCTGCTGACAAGAATTTAAAGTTAGCTATCCTATGCAAAATAACATGTGTTAGAACGTACATGAACTTACTGTTTACTGAAATTGTGAACTCACCAACTGTTGAAATAATAAATGCCACCCATTGCTAAAATAACAAATCATTAACTCATCTATTACTCTGTAGTTGCAATAGTAGGCAAAGACTTTGTTTTTATTTTTGGCTGCTACGCCAGTACAAGAATCATTATGTGATGCTTAGCATTTATAGAACTCCGTGATAACCATATTACTGATTATCTATATTTACTATATAAAACTTTCTTGCTTGTTATTTTAAGTGAGATAGCTGAGTTCGACCTGTTACCTTAGATGTATACAGCCTAATGTCCGATGGATCGATAGTTACATAACAATAATTAATCTTCAATCTAGTTCGTATCTAGCTCATGGGTTTGTAATCATGTAATGTATATTTTAATTAAGTATTACTTATATAATCTCATGGTCTTTAGATTTATCGTTAAACACGTTTAGTCGAAATTATGTTGAGAAATGTAAATCTTGCATGTCATTGGTATGTATATATGCATATACGCAGAATCAAATGATCTGACTATATCAATATCTGATTACTAATAATATTTATAAAATGATTGTGATTACGATTGATTGCGATTGCAATTGCTAAAGCTGGCTAATTTATAATAAATCTGAGTTAGATATATAATAAATTTGCTAGCTTTAGCAATCGCAATCGCAATCGCAATCACAATCACAATCATTTTATAAATATTAGTAATCAAGGGAGTCAGAATTTTGCAAAGCAGAATAATTTAATTATTGAAATACAAGTGCCACTGGTGCTTCTGTAGCATTACTTGTGCCAATTTTGGTCAAATTCTTTACTGAGTAATAATTTATTAATAAAAAAAGTTGTTATAGAAAATTACTATGTTTTCTTAAGGACTCATGGCACTTCTATATTGAATAATTGTGTAAATTTTTAAAATTCTGAGTTAGTTATATCCAGAGTTCATTACTAATTATAGAATTAACTAACACTTATCAGTTCATCGCTTGACAATCATATGTGATTATAATTTTAAGCAAGAAAACCTGCATCTAACGAGATAATACAACAGCCATCACAAAAACAGTCTATAAAAGGCTAAAGCAGCAAATTACATAGTAATCATGCGTGAGAAAACTGATCTTCAAAAGTAGTGTCACAAAAAAAATAGTGACCTGTACAATTGTATAATCAAATCAACTTTAAGATTTTGCCTTTCATTGCAAAAACTTCGATGAAATAAAACAAAGCAATTTTTCAGAGAATAGGCTTACAAACCTGAAACAAACAATTGCAAAGAAATCAAACAGTCTAAATATTGCGCAAGATAAACTTTGCATTCTGAAATTTTTCTAGAGCTATACTTGTGCTCTTGTTTTGATTTTGTTCTGTTTTGCATCAAAGAATTGATCAATCTTGATAATGTATTACTCAAATAAATCAGCACTAATCTGTAATAAAATCAAAAAATATATTACGCAATTCTTTAAGGGTGTTAAACAAATTGTAAAACAATAGATTAGGAAGGATAGGAAATTTGAACATGATTAACAGAACGGCAAAAAAAAAATTTACTCTGCCAATAGTTTCAATTCTTACAACATGAAGACCAGTTATTCATGAGTTCTAAACCTGTAATCAGTATAATTATGATTATTTAGTAATCTGCTTTATTTAAAAAATTGTAAAACTCAATATATCCATATTTAGAAGTGGGTTTGAATCAAAAACGTAATCATTTTCAAGTAATAATCATTTAATAGTATATGTTTGTTGGTTACATTCTTGATTCAAAAATCGGATGGACACTGAACAATTTTATATTTAAATTCATATAACAGTGATCGTAACAGTAATTTGATTTTTTTAATATGGAAGAATTTGAAGACGACATAAACGATATTGATATAAATTCGTGGTATTCTTCTGTTTCAGAAAGTTATTTTAATACAAATGAAACTTCTGAGAACAATTTTGCCTCAACATCCGCTGAAACTTCTTCAAATACTACATCATATTCTGATTATGGTCGAAAAAAAAGAAAGTCAAATGTTAATCCAACCTCTTTAGTTGGAACTACACAACGTAAAAATCAAAGTCATACTAGTTATTTTTTTCGAAGTGAGTCAAACAATAAAGAAATCGCATATTGTAAAATATGCGAGAATAATTTAAAAGATACTCAGCAAAAACCTTATCCATACATACGTAAGGGAGATAATACTTCTAATTTGTCTTCTCATTTGCGTGACAAACACAAAATAACTAGTGATAATTATAAACAATTTCTGGATGAAACTAGTGAACCAAACATAGATCAAACTAAATTAACTGATTTTTATAAAAAATCAGCTCCATGTACAACTCAACGTCAAACTTATCTTTTACAACTTCTTATTAAATTTATTATAAGATTTGTTGAACCACTATATATATTAGAGGATGAAGATTTTCGTGAATTTGTAAATGGATGTGAACCGGGATATAGAATACCTTGTGTTAAATCTGCTAAAAATATGATTTATCGGGCATACGATTGGAATGTTGATCAACTTCATAAATTAATTTCAAATATGGCAGGTTGTGTTCATTTGACTACGGATCTTTGGACTGCAAAAAGCAAGCATAGTTATATCGGTATTATGGGTACTTGGCTTACTGAAGATTTTGTGTTTAAAGAAGTTCTCTTAACTTGTAGTGAATTACTGCATTCTCATTCAGGAGAAATTATTAGTGCAGAGCTTTTTTCAATTATTCAAAAATGGAATTTAAGTTCATTAGTATATACAATAACTACAGACAACGCCACAAATATGATTAAAGGCGTACGTATACTTAAGTCACAATTATCTGAAGTTACAAGACAAGCATGTGCTGCTCATACTTTGCAATTGACAGTTCAACAAGGTTTAAAACAATGCAAGGCAGTGCATCGTCGAATGAAAAATTTAATAGCATTTTTTAGGCTTTCTAAACAGGCGCAAAGACTTTATGAAGCACAATTACAAATAAAGGGCACTGATATATCTAATAATCAAAATGAAAATAATAATTTTAATCCATTAAATGTTTTAAGTGAAACTAAGACATATTGGAACTCAACGTACCTTGCTTGGAAACAGGTTTTAGAATTACACACAGCAATGAAATTAGTTTCTACAACATTACTTTTAAAAAAAGATCGTAGTTCTCAATTAGAGGGTGAAAAACTCGACAGATTATGTTTAACTATAGATGAAAAAAATTGTATTCAAAGCATAGTAAATTTATTAAGTCCTTTTGAAATAGTAACTCGTCATATATGTGGTGCAAAATATCCTACACTTAATTTAGTTCACCCATATATAGAAATACTTAAAAAAAAGTTTCAACCACGATCTGAAAAAAATAAAACGATTGATTCTTACTTAACCTTAATTTATGGCGAGTTAGAAGATTTACCTAATCAACCCAATATAGAAAAATTATCTGATACTGATGATTCAAGTTCTGTTAGTGAAGATGAAAATATATCATCAGCAGGTAAACGTCGACATTGGCAATTTGCTCACCGTCAATTTAAACGAAATATGTATAAAAAGCATAGTAAAGGCCGAAGTCAAAATCGAAAAAAAATCCAAAGTCATAATAAAGGTAAAGGTAAAAGTAATGTAAGTCAATAATCACAAAATAAATCAGTTGAGTCAAATGACATATATGAAATCGAATATTTACCGCCAACTGATACTTCAGGTCTTTTGGATAACGTTAGAGCTGCTATCTACTTGTCATTAGATGAATTGTGGTGTGTTCCAAATGATATAGCTTTAGTTGCATCAATCCTGGATCCTAGGATGAAAAGTTTATGATTTACTACAGATACTCAACGAACAAACACAAGAATTAAACTTCGTGAATTGTATAAAAATATAAAAGACAATTTACAATTACAAGATCAAAGCCAAGCATCTAATATAACTACTTTTAGTGAAAATGATACTTTAGGAGATGATGATTTTTTTGCTGAAGTTTTTAACTTAGGAGGATCAAATAATGATATAATAGAATTTGAAGAAGACGAAGTATCACAATATCTTAAATATCCTGAAGCTAAACTTCATGAAGATCCACTTATTTGGTGGAATAGTAGAAAAAGTATTTTTCCTTTATTGGCTTTATTAGCCCGAAAATATCTTTCAATCCCAGCTACATCCGTGCCAAGTGAACGATTATTCTCGAATGCTGGGAATCACATCTCATCTAAACGAACACGTCTATCTCCTGAACTAGTGAATCATATGTTATCTTTAAAAAAAAATAGTGCACATTACAGTATGTTTCCTCCAATGAATGCATAATATTTGTAGTAAAACTTCAAATAACATTTTCATATTAAATACAATTAGTTTATTTAATGATTACTTGCTGAAATTTTGAATTTATTGAATATTTTTTAATTATAACAAAATTTTAAAATTTATTCAGAAAACAATTATATTGTATATCTGTTGGTTCAATTATATTCTTTATTATATTAAATAAAGCAAAGATATATTTTTTATAAGTAATACGAATAGTAGTAGAGTATGGTTTAGTAAAGTAGTAGAGTATAATACGATTAGCAAACACGTGAGTATGGATGGTTAGGTCACATTGAGTGTAAAGTAATATATTATACATAGCATGCAAATGTGGCATTAAAGAAACTAGACTTCAGGCTTCCTTTTTGTTATTTAACTCAAGAGTATATTTTTAGAACTTTACAACCTTTATTGCTTTGCTTTAATTATTTGTGTTGATTCAGTTATGAATGAAGGCAGATTCATTTATAAATCCAGTTATAGCGAAAGTTTATTATAATGAGTTTCTTTAGACCTAATGAACTTCGAAAATTTTAAAATTTATATTATTGTCATGCGGGTTAGTAGTAGGTGGCACTGCTTTGATTCGTTTATGTTCGCTTCACACTACAGAGGCTCCCACGACGTTCACCACTCAATACACCTTTACAACACTACTTCCACAGCGCACAAGACACTAGATGCCGATTCCACACAGGTAGGTAACGATTTATTTATATATAGGTACTGGTTATTTATTAGCGAAAGGTAAAAAGCTTCTTTTTTTTTTTTGACTAGCAAGAGCCAAGTTCGTTCAGTGTTAGTATGCTAGTACGCTGTACCTTAATTATGAATGAAGGCAGATTCATTTATAAATCCAGTTATAGCGAAAGTTTATTATAATGAGTTTCTTTAGACCTAATGAACTTCGAAAATTTTAAAATTTATATTATTGTCATGCGGGTTAATAGTAGGTGGGTTTCTACTATTGATCTAGCTTGACTACGTGAGCACTGCTTTGATTCGTTTATGTTCGCTTTACACTACAGAGGCTCCCATGACGTTCACCACTCAACACACCTTTACAACACTACTTCCACAGCGCACAAGACACTAGATGCCGATTCCACACAGGTAGGTAACAATTTATTTATATATAGGTACTGGTTATTTATTAGCGAAAGGTAAAAAGCTTTTTCTTCTTTTTTTTGTTATTATTAATTCTTTACCTCTATATATACTAAATTTGAGTCTATTAGACTACAAATTGATGACTACATACTTTATGCAAGATTACGCACAATCTATAATAGACTACAACTTATGACGCATAAGCTATATTAAACTATATAATATCTAGGATGCACAATTATTAATATACTTTCTTGTGTTACATTACATATATACTATTGTTTCCGACTCACCATGTCACATGTGCGGTCCCATGGGGCCTCAAAATCATGTGCTCCTTTTGAACCCGATCGATCGAGACTTAAGTCTTCGAAGCTACTTCGAAGCCCAACATACCCCGAATGTAATGTATAGGGTATCGATTACCGTCATGACAATTATTGAGTTTGTATGTAGATTATGTATACTTAATAATTTAATATCATTTAATTTATGTTTACAGTTCATTTTAAATTTGTTTGAGATTTTTATTTATTAATCAAGTTTCTCTTTAGAATCAGGCCAATGCCAAAGTTCCGAACAAATGTTACATAAATGCCTTTTTAGACCTACAAATGACGATAGACATTAGTGTAATTTACATTCTTCCAGCCATAGTCAACAATCAAAAAGGTGCTTTTTTTAGACCTTCAAATGATGGCGATAGTTCTTCCAGATCAAAGCCGATAATCAAAAAGATGCACTTTTTAGACATTCTTGATTGGTAGTAATGCTGAACTTTTATGAAAATCTTGATTTTTGTTAAACGTTAAAGTGATCTCATAAAAATCTCAATTTGGTGAAAGCGGCAGCAAAAATAATGATTTAAGATTCTTTTTGGTACTGTGTCTTATATAGTTTTTTTTTTTTAATATATATTTTTATTAACCGATAAATAAATAAATTCTGTAGAATTTTCATGAAGTCACATATAATAACTAAATTCTTTACAACTAGACTATTTTATATATAATATGTATTATTAGTATAGTATGCTAATTTTATATACTGTACTCAAGTGCAATTTTTGTAGCATACTCTACTATGTTACTAAACCATATACCACTACTATTCGTAATACCGATATAATTTACTATTAAAGACAGCATAGAAATTACTACTAGAACGGCTTTTGATAAAATAAAATTTCAATTGATATTTCTTGCGAATTTTCTTCATTAACATATTGTAAAACTATTATAATTATATTAGGAATACAGTATATTTACAATTATTTTTGGTGTATATACAAAATATAAAGAGTTAGATTAAAATCGATTTATAACTGGTTGTATTAAAACCAGTTATATTAAAGTCGATTTACATTCGGTTGTATTAAAACCGGTTATATTAAAGCCGATTTATATCCGGTTGTATTAAAACCGGTTATATTAAAACCGATTTATATCTGATTATATTAAAACCGATTTATATTCGGTGTTGGATTTAAACAATATATAAAACCGGGTTTAAAATATATAACCGGTTCCAAACACTATTCTGCACTAACAGCAATAGATAACACTCTTGACTACACTAAGGAAAAGTAACAGCAACAAAGAAAGCAACAAATAA